CACATATTTAAAATAAATATAACTTTTGCAAAACCTAACGCAACCAGCATTTCAGACCGTTGTTCTATGTAAAATTTATTATGTGTGGTGTTAATCTAACAGATTTGTATTACTGCGACCTACAGGGTGATGCAAAAATGTAATGCTGAAAGAAGTAAGTATCAAGTAACTCTCAGATTAAGAAACAATTACCCTTTGTACAGATTGTTGTTATTATCCCGATCTGTGGCTGTCGTTTTTATCGAGATGCCAAACTTCAAAAAAAATTCTATAGTTGTCAGCAATGTTATCTAAAGCGGATCTATCAACTATAACTATTATCGAGTAAGGATGTTAAGCAAGCCTGATCATTTTGTCAGTTAATCAGGACTAACTAATAATAGCAAATCTCTAAAAATCTTTAGACCGTTGAATTTTAAGATAATCATTAACAAGTGACTTTAAAAGAACCCATGTACCGAGAAACAAGAGCCGTAAACATCTCTAGTGAGGTCTAGGATGAAATACTGATGACTGTTACTTGACAACACACCAACACACACCAACACACGGCACACGCACTCGGGAGACTTGACCAAAAACATTACATGATGCTCTCACAGTAGCCGGAGCTATTCCTGTGGCTAAAGACATCAAACATCACCGCTCTTTATTCGCGAGAGATCCTAATGTTTCAGTACAAGCGTTAATATCACCCATGATAGGTCAAAAAGTATTTATCATATTTTCGGTTCTTCCACTCTAGATGATTAATACGCAGTCTGTTAACGACATGAATGGGTGACATCATTTTTTGTAGGAGTAAGAGCTGACTAATAGAATCAAAGAGCATGTTTGTTTATGCAAGTTATGCAATATAATTATAACAAATCATGTGTAAATATCGTACACCTTACCTGCGCTCACATGTGATAAGAGCTGCTTATTATACCTTACTTGTGGTATGTGGTGCTATAAGTTTTTGGTAAGGCTAGGGTAGGCAGCAGCGGTGGCCGCAGTAGTAGACTCTTCGGTCTCCTGATCAGTCGCCGTGCGCTGTGCGGGTTCGAGTCCCGTTCCAGGAGAAATTTTTCTCTTGGCTTTGGATGTTGTGATTGTCCGTTGTCCGTAGGTGGTAGATGGTCTCTGACTGTCGAACGTGGAGGTACCACCCGGCGAATCTCGTAGGCGGAGCCAGAATGTGTGCATGTCGCATGCACACGTGTTCCCTCGCCAGAGTCCGTGTGGCGTTCCCCCTTTCCCCTATAGCCCCACGGTACCCAATGGGTGTTTAGGCCTTTAGGCCTTCGTGGTAGTTGGAATATAAAAAAAAGCTTGTTTGCTCTAAAAGGAGATGTCTAAAACAATCTTGTAGCATAGTTGTACAGCACCTTATACCTTATAGGATAAATTTTGAACTGTTGCATAAACGTCTATACAACTAATTCACACAGCATATTTGCGCGGCAGTCAAAATCACTGTGTTGTGGCATCCATGGGTAACATGAATTCAACAAACCCGCATGGGTATTAGGTATCTTGAAAAGTGACATTTCGTCAGTTTTTTTGATATTTTTTAGGTTTTTTGTGACACAGTGTGTGTTTTTGTACAAGATGTTAGCACAAGCTGTTGTACACTTGTTATGAACTCGTTTTGTAGCTGTACGTGTTGCTTACACGTCAGCGATCAGCGATCATAGCGAGCAAACGTGGAATCAACTATTTGCGCACTGACAATTACCTATTCTATACTTTCTGGTATAATCGCAATAAAATTTGCAGTGGAAGTCAGTCAATAAAGCTAAATCACAGTGGTAAAGTTCACAATGGCCGATGTGTATGTAAACCATATGACTGTATCGCCTATACAATGCATAAGAAACAGTTATCTGCAATAGAGTAGAATCATGTAACAGTATGGTTGTACAGTTAACAATATCTTGCACTGAACCAAACGTTCTTTAGTGGCTGCAAGAGTGCTTACACTATTATTGCATAACTAGGTGTGCCAATCCCACTTGTATAGCTGTTCTAACACCGTTTTTCCAATTCTCTTGCAGCATACAACTGACAGGTTACGAGACTTGGGTCTATTGTTAGGATGTGTCGACCAAGGCTCAATACAAAGTTTGGGTCTTGGATGATGACGACACACCCTAGCTCTATCTGTAGTTGGTTGGATCTTATACTTACTACCTAGTGTAGTGGTCCTTGGATTAATATGATGATTTTTTTAAAAGCTCTCGTTAATTATAATGGGAGCAAAAAATAATGTTTGTTCAACCCTGTAACCTGTAAGTCTAACTCAAATATCAAATCCCAACATTTACATTGGAAACACATTTTTTGGCCGAGTTACATATTCATACGTAATAGTAAAAATCAATATTTTGTTTTACTGTGTTGGAATAATCTACAGAATTAAATATGTAGCTAATATTTTTTTATCGTTGATCCTGCAATCGTTGTTTATACTCTATTGGAATGATATATTGGCCGGCGGTTAGTTTTTCACGCTTCTGGGGAATTAAATCCAATCAACGGTTTTTTATAGCTGTATTTTGTCGATCGATGTAATGTGAATTTATTTAACCTAAATGATGTCAAGCAAATCGCGATATTTGAAAAAGTTAAGGAAAATAAAGAAATAAAAGAGAAACGTAGACGAGTTGTTAAGTCAAAATATACAAAATGAAATTAGGCTCTGCACTTCCTACGCAAGGGTGTCATCAGTTCATAAAAGATTCAAGTTCAGTGCATTTATGTACGATCATCTGAGAAAAAAGTTAGCTACGAACCTGTACAACAGAGAAATTCAACGGATTTGCCACCCAACCAGGCCCATACTAGTAGTCCATAGACATTATTTCCATGCCCTACCGGTACAATATCATATTTTCGAAATTTTCCGGGATTACAATACGCGCTCAGAAGAATAGGAAGTAAAAACGATGTGGAATTTTGCAATATAGAGAGAAAATGAAAAACTGCTTTGTTAAAGCACATAAACAAAAGAACATGCTTTGAATTGAGCAAAATGTAATGTAAAAAATGTACAATTATTGTACTAACAAACCTAACTTACAGTAGTAGTAACTGGTTAGAATACATGGCCAGTTGGTCATCATGGGCCAGTGCCGTTAATAGAACAATCAAAGAATCTGAATCACCAATCAATCCGATTACTTTCACAGGCGAACTGTAAAAAATCTAAGTACGTACAAAATGAAACTACAAACGCTGTGATCCGTTGCTTATTAGAAGTAATTATAAAGAAAATGGAAAAAAATTGTTTCAGAGAAAAACCATGTATCCGCAATTTTGCAAGCTATAGCGTAGGCTTTGTGGGGAATAGTAGTATGTTATTCGTCTCTATGTAAACCAGACATCTTTGGGCTATTACTATGGCCACGAATGCCAAAAAAATGCTCACAAAGTATCATTTGTGTAACCTGGACGATTTCTCAAAAAGGCTTTTCAGTAAGCTGAACGAAATTAAACATTTAACTGACGCCGTAAATGTACGAAAACTGAATGCTTCTTTATCACCAAACAATACACGCAGCCTCCACAAAAACTTAACAGAAAAACCTGACCATTTTATCACTTGTTGTTCATGGCAAGCTAAATCTTTATGTAAGAAAATTCTTGAATTCTAATAGATACACATAGGTGTTTACCTTTTCTTGTCACTCACTATACGTAGACACGTGAAAATTGGTACACACAGTGATTGAAAACCAAGGAAGATTATAGACATTGTTTCGTCCGCGAAGCTACATAGAGTGTTCAGAAAAAATGAATAGATCAAAATATCTCGATAAATTTTTATGCATGACCTTGATTATAACCTTTGAGGTCATTTGAAGGTCAAGACACTTTTTTCAAGCGAAACTTGTATTTTTTACACCGGAAATGCAAAGAGCGGGAAATTTGCTTTAAAATATATTTTTGTACATGACCACGCCCATTACCTTCATTGGGTTTTGAAGATACCCATATAGTATAGAATGGTCAAAATTTCTTGGAAAACATGTTCCATGAAGAAAAATGTTATCAATTAACGTTGTAAGGCTTAATCTAGGCTTTGAATGTCACCATCATTATGACCTTCAAGCTGATTTGAATGTCGAGACAGCTTTATTAAATAGTAACCGTAAAGTTCAGGAGAGTACGCCAATCAAGGCCATTTGAAGATCAGATGACTTTATAACGGGAATCGTCTATTTTCGATGCCTGGAATGCAGATTATGGACAATTTACAGTTCAAGTTCAAGTGTGCCTTTGTCAGTGAACCTGACTATGCCTTCAAGGTCATATTGGGATTAGATGAAATTCCTTACTTTTTGTCGAGGTAACAAAAAAGCGAAACATTGAAATTAATTTACTGTTGCATTACGATGTTGATAAAAATGTTAATTGCTAAAGCAACCAGAGCGTTACTTTGAATATTCCTTCTCCGAAACCCCTCTCTTTCACACTAAACCTATTATACATACACTTACACCACTTCTACGCGAGCCGAGCCGCGAGATAATTCACTCTAAAGGTGCAATTTCGTTGCGACGTCCCGCCGCCGCGGTCGACCGCAACTGCCCGCCGCAATGCACTGATATCATTGTTTTCAAATCGACGCATTTTCGTTGACACGTCTCGACCCGTCGGCTAGGCGTTCAGCCGTCGACGGCTGCGTCTTGACTGCTACAAGGAGCAGTCCAGACGCGGCCGCCGATCATTTTGGTTTCAAAAATGTCCCGAAAAAGAGAATTGGCTTCTGCAGATGAGATTTTAATACGCACGGTGGAGCAATATCCGTGCTTGTATGATCACGAGCACAAAGACTTTGAAGATTTTCAGATCCGTGAAAATTGTTGGAATGACATCGCTTCAGCGTTAGGAAAACGTCGTAAGTACCTATATGCTATTTTTTATTAATTTCAAGTGTACACAACCTACAGTACAGTTTAAAATTGTACACAGTGTGCTTCTACCAACAATATAGTGAATTGTAACATAAAAAATTAACTGCTTAGTCTAAATATGCGGTCGTCCTGCCAATTTAAAGCCCCTTCTTGGACGAAAAAATTCGCGAATTCGTCTCTTATTGCAAAACCATCCGCATTTGCAAATCCTCCAGCATTTCTCAACGGGGTTATATTATCTGGTAGATTCAAACTTACATCGTAGTTGTAATAAGGCTGATTATTTTTTTCCAAAAATGCATCTCTCAGAAGATTGTGCAAGCAACAAGTTACAAGTATGAGTTTATCACACGTTTCTGGCTTAATGGCAATCGGAGTGTAGTAAATTCGAAAAATCTGACACAACAATCCAAAGGCATTTTCAGACACTCTTCTGGCTCTACTCAATCTATAATTGAAAACAGTTTTCTCTTTATCGCCTTTAGCCGCTTGTTTGCTATACGGTTTCATCACATGGGGATGTAATCGGAACGCTTCATCACCGACAATAACGTATGGCAATAGTCTATTTGAACCTGGAAGATTTACACCTGGTTCAAACAACTGACCAGAATATATTTGTTTTCCCATGTCAGATTTCATAAATATGCTACTATCCCCTTCCTTTCCATACGCGCCGACGTCAACAAATACAAATTTACAATTTGCATCTACTACTCCAAGCAAGACCATAGAAAAATATTCTTTATAATTAAAAAATAGTGAACCGCTTTTTTGTGGACAAAAAATTCGAATATGTTTTCCGTCAACAGCACCAACACAGTTGGGAAAATTCCATTTGCTCCAAAATTCCGTTGCATTTTTCTTCAAATCGGTTGCATTTGGTGGGGGCAAAAATATTGGGACCAAATGTTTACTGAGTACTTCTAATGTTTCTTGAATAAGTACGGAGATGTAGCTCGGTGAAATACGGAAAGCAAACGAGAGTGACTTGAAGGTCTCTCCGGTGGCTAAAAACCTGAAAAAGAAATTTATACGCAAACATTTTCACAAATTCACAAATTTCTGTTTCCAGCTGATGAATGCAAATCTCGATGGAAAAACATTCGAGATAACTTTCTTAAACACAAAAGGAAGCAAAAGATAGGAACAGGGAGTGCAGCATCAGCGAAACCGCCGAAATGGGCGTTATTTGAATATCTGAAGTTTCTAGATAACGTGAAATCCGAACGACAGTAAGTTTACTTGGTATTTTTTTATAGAGTTCCGAGTTCACGATCTTTAATTTTAGAACCATCAGTAATGTCAATGAAGCTGCCACCGGCATTGAGGAAAATATAGATAGGGAACTTAGTGAAGAAGAGGTGGACACTTCTCTCGATGTGGATAATGCACTAGTTGATGATGACCTGTCTTCACCGCCACCTTCCGATTATCCGAGGCAGGAGAAAAAACTGCGTCAGAATGCCATCGACAAATCACGTTCTAGTACCCCAGACAGCTATGCAGGTTCAACTTCTTCAAAACGAAGCCAACGCAAAAATCTCTTTTTGGAGAATGTTGAAGAAAGATCCAAACAAAGGATGCAAATGTTGTCTGCTTTAACCCAAAAACCCGAAGATGATGAGATTGATTTATTTTTCAAAAGTATAGCGATGACTGTTAAAAAATTGCCTCCTCATCAAATAGCGAAAGCTAAACTGGGAATTTTTACATTAGTTACCGAATTACAGGCGTCACCGGAATTACATACGAACGAAAAAACACGTACCTGTACTTCAAGATCACAACAGAATTTATTAGCGCCTTTAACGTCGGTTTCAACTGTTTCCAGCACTCCAAGTTCTCAGGAAAATGTAGTATTAACACCATTAACGTCCGTATCTGTATATAATTCATCTGATATGCAGTACAGTTTGGACAATATTAGATACGGCTGGACTAACCAGTAACGTTTATTTTTCATGTTCATTGTTTAAGCGTTTGGAGTTTCTTAATAATATAAAGTCTTTAAAACTTTGTTTTTTCTTACCTTAACGCCAATGCCAACTTTTCTTCCGGAGATATAGGGTCGTGAACGGTATTTGTGGATTTTTTCTTTAAATCTGTCGATACTATATTCAGAACAAACTGGAACTGTTTCTTATTTAAACGAAAAAATTCACGAAATTTTGTTCGTTTGTATCCAGGTGATTCTTCATTAGAATTTTAAAATATCCCTCTTCCTTGCGAGATTGGTACAATCTGTCAAAATCTTACTAGACCACCATAATATCACTTCTTCATCTTCTTCTTCGTCCTCAAGTAAAATTATTTTGACGAGATTTTTTGAATCCATGTTCACAATTTAGAGCACGACCCCTGACTGCCGAAATTTAGACGCTGCAACGAAATCGCTTGGCCGCAACGGTCAGCCGCAACGGCTAGCAGTTGCGGTCGACCGCGGCGGCGGGACGTCGCAACGAAATTGCACCTTAAGGAATCCTGGCATTTGTACGGATGGCTATAACAACAAACCGGCGTAGCCTGTCTGGTATGGTATGGTGTAAGCTAATTTGTATTTGTTCTCAAAAGATTTCAATTTTACCTAATTTGCTAATTAAAGCAGAGATCTTTCAGAAAAAAAGAAACCGAACAAAAAGTATTTGCTTTTAAAAGCACAAATAATGCAGTCCGTGAAGTTTAGCAGATAAGCTCCCGATGCCCGTATTGTAGGAACTTTCTCGCTATACACCTACTTTTTTACAAGTTTTACTGTGTTTATAAATCTAATTAACTTTCTTATAATCCACTTTTTTGTTCCCAGTAGCAGTAACTTGTTTTAATTATATTTGCTGAAGAAGTGCTCACTGGGAGATTTGCATTCTGATTATTGTCTGTTGATTTTTGGCTAATGAACTTTGTTCCCTTGTAAACTTCTTTCTTCCAACGTCAACAGTTCGGGGCGAATTAAAAGTTGTACCCTAAGGAGAATTGTTTGTAGACCAGATAAGATTCCTCCTTGCTACTTCATTTCGCTTTTTTTTTGTAGTAAATCGAGAAACAAGCATTCTTAGGAAATCGGAGCATTATAAAATTGATAGCTCGTCAAGAAACTAAGGCGCTTATCAACCTAGGGCTAATAATGTTCCAGCGACGTGCCAACTTACAAAGTGTGTTGTATAAGTCACTAGTGCGGGAGTAGTATTCCCCTGGTTGACGAGTCGCTTATGGTTGGCTAGACATCCTCGTTCATAGCCTTTCGGAGCTGCCCGGAAGTGTAGGGGCTCTTGCACTACCGACACACATTAGTCCAAATCTCGTAAAAAGCGTCCAAAGATCTAGTCTTCTAAAGATGTCTACAAGAAATTTCTGCCTATGAATAAGAGTTAGCAACGACAAAAGTCGCGGCCATTAAAAATATCTGTTATTGAAGGCAACGAAAAGATAGAGGCAGCAAATTAAAACACTACAAGCTTATGAGATTCATTATCCAAGAGTCATGTCATCGCGTAATGGAAGAGGATAGGTCAAACCTATGGTTCGGAATTATTAGAGAGCTCAAATACACAATACAACCAAAGAACCATTTTTGGATACATCGTCCCGTAATATGATACGCTAAACCAGTAAAATCTTACACATTTTGACGCTAAACAGCAAACTTGCAATGATTGACTAGCTCTTATTATAAAGGGTGTCCCAAAATTAACGCAAGATTTGAATTTGCCGCCATTTGTGCAGTGAAGTGTTGGCAACCCTGAAAAAAAGCAGTTTGACAGCTAACAGTATAGGGTTATGAAAAATGGAGCGTTACACGATAGAACAACGTGTCTTCATTATTAAAGAATATTTCAAAAATAGTGAAAGCTTGGCGGCTGCAGTTCGAAAATTTCATACAAAATATGGCCGGAATAGTGTTTTAACTTCGTCAACTGTGAAGAGATTAATTGAAAAATTCATGGAGACTGGATCCGTTGGAGACGCCAAACACACTGGTCGTCCAAAAACAAGCCGTTCAAATGTGAATATCGAAGCAGTGCGTGAGAGTGTTGCGGACAATCCAGGAACCTCAATTCGACGTCGTGGACAAGAATTGCAAATGTCAAGAACCTCTCTACAGCGTATACTCACCAAAGATCTGTGTCTTCATGCTTACAAACTTCAATTAACACAACAATTGAAACTTAATGACCATGCAGAGAGAAGAGAGTTTGTTGAATGGATTATTGAACATCAACAAATGGACCCTGATTTTTCAAGCAAAATCATCCTAAGCGATGAAGCACATTTTCATCTTGATGGCTTTGTCAATCGCCAAAATTGCCGCATTTGGGGTTCGGAGAACCCACGTGTGATTGTCGAAAAAGAAATGCACCCACAACGCGTGACTGTCTGGTGTGGATTTTGGGCTGGAGGCATAATTGGGCCATATTTTTTTGAAAATGATGCTGGTCAAGCAGTGACTGTTACTGGTGCTCGATATCGCGACATGATTACACAGTTCTTTCTGCCAAAATTGAATGATATTGATGTACCCAATATGTGGTTTCAACAAGACGGTGCCACATGTCATACAGCCCGTGAAACAATTCAATTACTGCATGAGACATTTCCCGGTCGTGTACTCTCTCGTTTCTGTGATCAAAATTGGCCTCCTAGATCGTGTGATTTAACACCATTAGACTTCTTTTTATGGGGTTATTTGAAATCACAAGTCTATGTCAACAAGCCCACAACCACCCGTGCATTAAAGGAGGAGATTCAACGCTGCATCAACGAAATTCAGACACATTTATGCAGAAGGGTCATAGAAAATTTCGACAAAAGAGTGCGCATGTGCATGCAAAGCCGTGGAGGCCATTTGTCCGATGTGTTATTCCATACATAACCCTATCCTATGCACTTTATGAGTCAATAAAAATATAACTATTAAAAGACTAAAAATGGCATTTTCTATTTAATTCAAATCTTGCGTTAATTTTGGGACACCCTTTATATATATATATATATATATATATATATATATATATATATCAGTACGCTATGTAACCAAAACATTATGCTCTCCTTTGTGACTATTACTGATTTGCAAATAGACAGCGATCTTGACCTGCCGGTGCTACCAAATTGGCATAAAATGTTTAGAAAAGGCTACATTTATACCGAATTGAATTTCATTAAATTAAGCTCTATTCACTGTTTTTGGTGACTAGCTACGTCAAAAAGAAAATAAGCAAATATATAGTGGCTTATAACTTTATTGTATGAAAAATATATTTTGTAGTCTGAATATATGTCCAAATAATGGTAAATTTGAACGAAGTGATGGACAACGAATCTATCCAAAAAAGATTATCTGGCAATGCTGAATTTATCTTCGACCAAACCAGAACAGCACGCACATCTCGTATCTCTTAAGTTCATTCGTCTTTTCTTATTATAACTGCTCTTGGATAAATTATAAATCTGTAATTCGATTAACCCATAACGGACCTGCAGCTTCTAACACAAGAGGAATCATATTGGTCTACTAGCGAAGGCACCAAAAATTTGTGGCAGAACGCGCCACACAAATTTTGTTAAAAAGGTGATCCGTGATCACTGACTTTGCAAACAATTACAGTTCACCAAATATGCCACCATAATCCGAATTATATTTCCTATTTTAGAGAATATTGTGAAAGCAACGCTTTAATATAACATGTAATGATTTAATTCGACATTAGAAAAACTACTAGAGGCAAATATAAGGACTACAACTACTCAAGAAAAGATACCCTATTTTCTCCGCCTCACCTCTATACTGACCTACTGAGTCACCCTGCATGTTGAACATCCGAGCCTTGATTCCTCTAGTCATTCATATAAGAGCCAAAATTCCGGTGCTTTAACAGTATTGGCTTTATATCAATCATACATTCAACTCTTTACCTGAATTTCTTTAAATTACCAATTATTGTGATACATAATTCTATCTCAGTGCTTAGATCCACTAGCAGCTCTGAATTGAAAATATAAATGCAGAGCCAACAAAAATAAGGTAGTCATTGCCACGCCCTTTTTTATAAACAAGTGGAAATGGTGGTGTGATTCCTCTTTCCTTTTTTTTTTTAGTTAGTTGATTTATAAATAAACAGAATGCGATAAATGAACTCTGAGGAATTTCAATACAATACTGAGTCGCTAAAAAAGAAAGAACGTGTGAAATTATAAATTCAATAAGCTATGCCATTTGCCAACAAATATAAGGTAATCATTAAACTAAAAATCGGTACCTACGGAGAAATAACTTATTTCCCGATATTACTTGTTTTATATAGAAATAACCGGTGATTTTTTAAGAGGTATAAGATTTGATTTTAAAAAAAAAAACACAAAAAAATTGAAAAAATGATTAAATCTCTATTTGAGTCGATAGAACGGTCGATATAATTTAATGTTTAAAGATTATTTCATGTAAATGTTGGCTTTAGATGGCCCATGCGCAAGGTCCAATTTTGGCACAATCTTTCCAACATATCGGCCGGTATATCACGAATAAATGCTCCAATATTGACTTCCAGTGCGTCAATCGTTGCTGGTTTATCCCTGTAGACATTAGCCTTAACATGGCCCCACAAGACACGGCGTTAAATCGCACGATCTAGGCGGCCAATTGACGGGCCCCAAACGTGAGATAAACTGTTCACCGAACTCGCCTCTCAATAGGGCCATTCTTTCGGGTGCGGTGTGGCATGTGTCACCGTCTTGTTGAAACCACATGTCAGCCAAGTCCAGCTCTTCCATTTTGAGCAAAAAAAGTTTTTTATCATCGCACGGTAGCGCTCGCCATTCACAGTTACGTTCCGGCCATTGGCGTCTTTGAAGAAGTACGGCCCGATGATGCCACCGGCCCATAATCCACACCAAACAGTCATTTTTTCGGGATGCATTGGTAGCTCTTGCAATGGTTCTGGCTGGTCTTCACTCCAGATGCGGCAATCTTGCTTGTTAACGTACCCATTCAACCAGAAATGAGCTTCGTCGCTGAACACAATTTTTCGATAAAAATGTGAATCTTTCTCCAACTTTACCAGCGCCCATTCACCAAATTGGAAACGTTGTGGGAGGTCGTGTGGCTTCAGTTCTTGCACCAGCTGTATCTTATAAGGTTTTACACCCAAATCCTGAAAAATTTTCCACGTAGTGGAGTAACAGAGGCCCAATTGCTGCGAACGGCGGCGAATCGACATTTCACGGTCATCACTAACACTGGCGGATACAGCCGCAATATTTTCTTCAGTCCTCACTCTACGTCTGCGTGTTGGTCGTTTAATGTCCAATAATGTAAACTGGGTTCGAAATTTAGTCACAAGG